TTTGCTAGCATCCTCGGTTAGTCTCAAGTCCAGTAGTTACATTGTGGCGAGTCCTACCAGTTGGTACGAGATTCTAGTTGCTTACTTGTGATCCCATGTTCTATGGCTTACGAGTTTCGGTTAAGTTCATTTGTATGGATTTACATTGGGTTTTTATTGCCTGGCTAGGTACTGATCAGGCTAGGCCATCAGAATAAGAAGGGTTTTTTGAACAAAATCAACACGAAAATGTCTTATTCGTTTTTCTTTTCTTTTTTTTTTCCCTATTTATAGGCTCATTCAAGCCCTTCCTTTATCCAATCTAAAAGAAATTCCTGATTTGTATCTCTCTATGAAATAGAGAAAGAAAGACACCTTACATTATGTTTAAATTAGTGATTCTCTTTTTCAATTGGGAGAGAGGGCTGAGTGGACTAAAGCGTTGGATTGCTAATTCGTTTCTCATGCAAAGTAGAGATGAAGTGTAAAACATAAGGATCAACAACATAGCAAACAATAAGGCATTGATCACATAACATGTCAACTAATACAACTAGAAAAGTGTAAAACATATTAAACATTTGATTGCCTACTTAACATTTTTGCTTGCTATAATGAAAAGTAAATAGAACGAAAAGAAAATAAGAATATAATGATAATAGGGGTGTGTTTGATTTACTTTATTTTTCATGAAAAATGTCCCTTTTTTACCCAAGTTCCTCACTTTTGAAGTGTTTGATTGACATTTTTTCCATGAAAATTATTTTTCTCAAGGTGGTCATATGACTATGTTTTCCTGAAAAACAAGGAAAATATTTTTTTAGAAAGTGGTCTCTCATCTATCCACCAATAAAAGATGTACAAGTATAATATTTTATAGTTTGAAAATTAAATCAATCAAACGCAATTAATTAATAATTTTGATGCAAATAAGTTTTAGGAAATTGCATAAAACTTATTTTATTTCCAATCAAATTATATGCTTGCAATCAAAACCCCTAAAAGAAAGAAAAATAAATCTATACGTCACGTCACTAATTGCAACTTGGAATATCCCTTCTTTTTTTTTTTTTTTTTTTTTTTTTTTTTTACGAAGGAACCCATAGCAGCTACTCTTCAGGTGCGCACTGGGTAAACCTTCGAGCTGAGGCAATAGCCTACAGATCACGTCAGTCAGGTAAACTGCACTAAGCAACCCCAATGCAACAGGCTCGACTAAGAAAGTATTGGTAGGAGGAATCAAACTCGTGATCAAAGGCCTCTATGTTCACCTACTCCTCCAACTCGGCCACCCCATGAGGGTCTCACTGGGGAATATCTTGCTTCAGTTGTAGGAGGCTAATCACACATTTTTTATAGTTTCCAATTCTTTTTCCTAGTCTATGGGGTTGTGTTATGTTTAAAGTAGCACCTTTATCTGGGAAATGTATATAAATACTCTAAAATCGTAGTCAATAATAAACAATCCATAAAAGGCAAGATATTGGATTCCGTACTTATAGCAAATGAATGTATTGACTCGAGACTGTGTATAGGGATTCCATGAATGTTATGTAAACTTGATATTCAGAAAGCCTATGATCACATGAACTGTGGATTCCTTTGATATATGCTCAAGCGATGTGATTTCAAGGACAAGTGGTGTCGTTGAATTCAGTTTTGTATATCTACGGTCTCCTATTCGATTTTGGTAAATGGCACTTCTGAGGGTTATTTCTGGAGTAGTAGATGTTTGAAGCAAGGGGATCCGTTGTCTCCATTATTGTTTGTTATTGTTATGGAGGCTTTGAGTAGGATGCTTGAGAAAGCTGTGGAAGAAAGTGTGTTGAAGGCTTTATGATTAACCAGTTACAGGTATCCCATTTGCTATTTGTAGACAATACATTGATCTTTTGTTATGCAAAAGCTGAGCAATTCAGGAACTTGCATCGTCTGTTACTATGCTTTGAAGCTGTATCCAGATTGAAAATTAATTTGGAAAAATATGAGGCCATCACAGTTGGGGATGTCGCTAATATGGAAGAGTTGGCGGCCATATTGGGTTGCAGGACTGCGTAACTGCCTATGTCCTACCTTGGGCTCTCCTTAAGAGCACGGTCTAAAAATATACACATTTCAAATAGTATTGTGGAAAGGGTGGAGAGGAGGTTAGTGAGTTGGAAGCTTATGTACCTCTCAACGGAAGGCCGTCTTACACTCATCAATCCACTCTATCAAATCTCCCCCACTTACTTTTTGTCATTGTTTTCTATCCCCGTTATAGTGGTAAAAAGATTAAAGAGGATTCAAAGGGAGTTTCTATGGGGAGGTTTAGGGAAGGAGAGGAAACATCACTTGGTTAATTGGGGCGTAGTGTGTTCTCCCATAAAAATGGGGAGCCTCGCATTGAGGAGTCTTGTATTGTTTAATAAGGCCTTGTTGGGTAAGTGGTTGTGGCGATTCAGTGTGGAGAGGGAGAGCTTTTGGAGAGAAGTTATAGAGGTAAAATATGGTGTTCTAAAGGGGGGATGATGCTCAGCCGAGGATCATGGTTCTTATGGGGTGAGTTTGTGGAGGTATATACGATGAAGGTGGAGAGAATTTCAGGACAGATTTACGTATGAGATGGGGAATGGCAATACCATCAAATTCTGGGAAGATTATTGGTGTAGAGATCGGCCATTAAGAGCGGAGTATCCTTCCCTATATCGTATTACTTTGATGCCGCAGGTATGGGGAATGAAGTCTTACATGCGCATGATGGGAATCCCAGCTGGAACATCACTTTTGGGAAGGGTCTACAGGACTGAGAATTAGATGATTATGCACTACTCCTGACCTCCTTGTATGAGTTGTGCGTCAGGGTAGGTGAAAGTGATCGTAGCAGGTGAAGGTTGGCACGCGATGGCACTTTCTCAGTAAGCTCTTATTTTAGATCATTCCCATGGAAGAAGGTATGGCGTTGTAAACTGCCCCCCTCATGTGGCATTTTTACTACGGACGGTTGCGAGGAGACAGGTGTTAATGATAGATAGCCTCCGATGTAGCGTCTTTTATGTTACGGAATGGTGCTCAATGTGTCGAAGGAATGGAGAGACGATTCACCACTTGTTCCTTCATTGTAGCGGTGCTTGTACCCTATGGAACGATATTTTGGCTTCTCACCATATGGATTGGGTGTTTCCACAGCATATGGAGGATGTTTTGAAGGCATGGGGGAGAAGATTTCGTAATAAAAATAGCAAGATTATTTGGGACCTTGTCCCAGGATGCATCGTGTGGTGTATGTAGAAGGAAAGAAATAGCCGCTGTTTCGACGATAATACATGGACAACAAAGCAGATTAAAGAATTGTTTTATTTGACAATATATACTTGGTTTAATGCTGTGGCTATTACTTGCATAGACAGGTTGTCCAATTTCATATCGTTTCTACCTTGTATTAATTGATAATACACTTCCTGTGTATTATCCATGATTAATAAAATATTTAGTTACCTATCAAAAAATAATAATAATAAAAAAGAAAAAAGAATCCCTGGTCAGTGTTGACATACCTTGAGACTTGAGGCTGCACACTCTTATGTCTTAGAGCTAAGAGTTAAGCGCTTAAATCAATTCAAGCTGTTTGGTTGCTAAATGCAAAATAAATTAATTTCCGTTTTTCACTTAACATGAGTTTAGTACAGTTAGACCTAAACGACATTCATTAGAACATAAAAATTATCATTTCTTGTCGTATATTTTGCTTCAGTTTTTAAAATAGAACTTGTGACCATGCATATTTTATTGCCTTTCCATAATCACAAACTTTCCGTGTGTCGTGTTAAGGAGTTTTCTTCAGAAACCCCAATCATGGTTGACATACCTTGAGAGGTTACACCTCCCTTTTCCATCTAACGAAGACTTGTTTAGATTACATAATATATTCACTCATAGCACGCACGTAACCGTACTTTTGTCTTCATAAATGCTCGAAGTTTTTCCTTATTGTATCAATCTATTATCTACATAACACTAACCATCATTTTCTGAACTCTATTTTTGTCATTGAGTGTATCAAGTTCACACTCATTGTTCAAAGCTTTTGCATATTAAACTTACAAGAGGGAAAATGGAAAAAGGAGTTGATTGGATGGTGTCTGGCCACAAACCCACTTTTTCCTGCACGCTTATATCTGCATTTGTTACTTGTTCCATAGTTGTTCTGTTTCTCAGACCTCCTTGCCTAGAATGTGTTGAGAATAAGGTGTTTGTAAAATGTGAAGGTGTATAATCCTAAGTTTGGTGGCAAGACTTCTAAATTGTTTCTGTGCCCAAGGTTCTCTGGGAGCTAACAGGGTATTCCTGATGCTTGGCATTTATCATTCTTAATATTTTTTCTTTTGAGGCTTGGGCAGATAGTGGAAGGTTTTGATTTTGAATATCATTGCTAATTTTGATCCCAATCCTCGTGAGAATATTTCCAGCTGAAACAATGGTATCACAATAGTGGAAGGTTTTGATTTTGAATATCATTGCTAATTTTGATCCCAATCCTCGTGAGAATATTTCCAGCTGAAACAATGGTATCACAATTTCATCACTATATTAATCAGAACTTTAAGCAATCAACTAAAAAAGAATTATATGGGGCCTTCTCCGCTATAGGATCAATTTTAATAATTTCAAGCATGAAATAGCCTATTCACCTGAATCCTGATGGACCATATCCATTTTTAATTAGAATATGTTTCTACATATAACAGAGAATTTCCTAAAATATTGTTGTCTTTATCAAACTTTAAAGGTTCTATCAGCTAAATTGTCCTTGCTCCCCTACCCTTTTGTAGGGAATAGATAAAGAGATGGAAATAACCAAGTATGAGCTTCTGAGAATCATTCCGATAGCAATTAATAACTGGTCAATTATTCATGGCTTATGATGTATATTATTTGGTTTTTACATTATTCTTTTACCTATGAAAGTCCCTATTTCTGTCATTAATTTAGAGTCCTAGGGGTTCTTTCACTCTGGTGTGTAACTGAACCTACTATTCCAGCTTGGCAGATATCTTGCGACGGTATCACAGCCCCGTTGAAGCTGAACCAAGTGCCTCTGCAGAGGTTTGTGAGACTCAGATCATATTCACTTTTAGACTCATTTCAACTCAAAGTGATTTTTCCGTTCAAGCTTTGTTGTGGTCTAATTTCTAAGCATTTTTAATATACACAGGCTAGATTAGAGCCTTTAAATTTGTATGTCTTTTTTGGAAGATTTGCTGTTTAAACCATGACCTCTGCATTGAGTTGTTTCGAAAAAATACTTGTGCTAAAAGATCTTATCTGGTGGTCAGGGACTGATGATCAGATCTATCTTTACAGCCTTCTTCCCTAATGAAACACTGAACACCAGTTCATATGAATCAGCAGCTCTAGCATGACAGAAAAGGGATGATCGGCTGCAATGTTAATCATCTGATAGTCACAGATGATCAATCTTCATATAAATTTCACCCTTCTCCAACAGACTAACAAAGCAGTAATTGCAGGTTTTTATATGGTTCAACATCCTAACGTTCTGAATGAGACTAATTACAGGTTTTTATATGGTTCAACATATGAACATCTTAAATGAGACCGATGGAATTGTGTAAAAGCAGATGCCTAGTGTCATCAATACATTATATTATTGAATATTTGAGATCTTATAGCGACCTTTGAAACCTTGATTTGCAGGGTGATATACAGAATATGAACTAGAAGGCACTTCATGTATTTGATTAATATATATTTAGACGATTAGTCACTATTTCGCAAATATTTTTTACTGCATTTGTGTTCTCATGAATTTTATAATCTGATATGTTATTTTCTGTTGTTTGCTTGGCAGGAACATTACTCTAACTATGCAAGTTGCTTGTCAATTGGAGAGCTTCTGCATATAGTGGAAAGGCAAGTACCTCATCATCTAGTTTAACTTCCCTATAAGAAGTCTATGTCCAAAATTGTATCATTTTTACACAGGGACCTCAGAGGGCCAGATATTGATAACCTCAGCATAACTGATCTTGTGCATTTGGAGGAACAACTCCAGGCTGCATTAATTGGAGCAAGATCTACAAAGGTAAATCTTTTCACACTATTCTTATACTTAATCGAGTACATTAACTTTATGAGGAACAACTTCAGGCCACTGGTAAAAACAGGATCTGCAGAGGTCTATTTTTTTCTACTTTCTCAGCACAAAAGGTCGATCCTTTTCTATTATTCTCATCACATCTTCAGAGAACACTAACATAAAAGTATCAATTGTCTTCTCTTTTCATCCTTTCATATTTTTGCTGAAGATATTCTCTGAGAAAGCAAATCTTTTATGTATTTTTGTGGGTACTTTATATTTGAATGGAGCATTTATTTATTTATTTATTTTGGTCAATTGGACAATGGCAAGAAAGAAAAATATAAATCTGCAAGGACAGAAGCAGAATTGAAAGTGTGACTTCTGGAATGATGATGGAGAAATAAGGTTTAGAGAAAAATAGAGACGTTAACAGTAGTCAGAGTGTGAAACATAAGAACCCAAGATTTTTTGGTAAATACAGAGAGAATTGTAGAAGTTATCTCTGCAAATTTTCTGAAACTTAAATAAAAAAAAAAAAGGGAACTAGTGAAAGTTAATGAAGATAAAACCAGTTTCTGTGGAGTTATGAGAGAAACCGAAGGTTACCATGTATGATACTCAATACAAAAAACCTAGCAATCTGGTTGTGCGTGCTTTTCACTTTCCTTGCCTATCTCATATTGTTACAGTAAAACTAATGGAAGGAGTGAAATTTGTGTACTGCATACTTTATGTTGGGGGAAGTCCATGCACCCTTAACTAATGATTCTAGAACTACCACTGAAATCTATATTGCCTTTTGAGGCTTCCACAAATAAGCTTGAGAAAATATTCTTATTCCCTATTTTTGTTCAGGTTTGTTTTCTTTTCTTTTGGTTTATATTTATATTGCTTAATGTCTTTTTTCTTTATTCTGTTTAAATTTTTGAAATATTCCTTCCAGATCACATATACTGGCTTTTTACATTTTATTTTTGTAGCTTGTGTTGCAATACTGTACATTCATTGAGTTTGTATATATGCAGACGCATATTATGCTACAATCTATAACCAGTCTTCATGAAAAGGTTTGCAACTTTCCCTTTCTTGTGGAACTTGGTTTGCAATTTTTCCCTTAGTTGTGGAACTAACGTTACTGGCCTCTAGGCTTTCTGAATTTATTAATTTCTGGAAAGAAAATTCTATCCCGAAAATCTAGTAAGGCTTTCTGGATGAGTTATAATAAACCTAGACAAGGGTTAATTTGTTCGTCTCAATTTTATGCTTTTTCATTATCTAAAAGTAATTATTACCATGTCCAGAACTCTCATGTCCAAACTTTTGTCATCTCTTTCTTTTCTCCACTCACACTAATTATTCAAATATTTGAAAAAATCTTCAGCAACAATTTTATGTCCTTCTGTATGCATTTAGCTACCCGTGGACAAGGAATTAATGTTCTGCACCTCTCTTGCAGTTCTCAGTAAGCCTTTTTTTTAATATTTAACCATAGATCTCTTGGATAACTCACACTCCCTGCTCGTATTATCCATGCACTCTTCTAGCTGAATACCTTGACTTCATTTGTACATCTTTCCCAATTCATAGCCACTGGTGGTTAAGCTAATTACCACATGTGGACAATTGAACATTCTGGCCAGGCTTGTCGTGATGGAGAACATGGAAAACGTGGTGCATTGTTGAGAAAAGTAGGAGTAGGTTGGCAGGAGATAATAAGAATCTCTGTCGTATGACATGGAGTCATGTGAGGAGTACATCTAGTAGAAACTTCAGTCTTTATAGTATGGCTTGAAATCGAGAGCAAACAAATGTTGAACAGGGGCCTAGTTGATGCTAATGACTAGTTTTGGTACCATGGATACCCTAGTTACAACCTTTTGATTCTTAAAGTTAAAATGTTTGCAACAAGTAGTCCAATGGCCTAGTACGTTTCTCTGCTTGGCCACCATGTTGAACACATGAAAAAAAAAGGAAGCTAGGGCAAAGTTTAAAACCAGAAGGGCAAGTTTGTTAGCTAGTACAACGAGACATACAATGGAGAAGATTTTAGTTCTTTTTATTCCTTACATACGACAAACACTGTCTAGTCCTCCATGCCAAACCTGCTAGAAATGTATACTGTAGTCTGTATGTGCTAGTAGGCAGGGAATTGCTGCAGGACTGTTACTTCACCAACAGTATTCTTTCTGTATGATTGCAGTTTTCAGAGTGTCTCACCTTTCCGTATTACATTATAAGACATTGTAATATTTGATTCAGGGAAATCTCACCATCATCCATGTAGTGCTTTTTTTCCAAGTGATCTAATCTATCGAGCATATTTGCTGATAGAATGTGCCACTTAAATCAGCCTTAGAATCAAACTGTAAGGGAATCCTTGCACCATTTGAGAACATAACTAGGAACCAGGGGCTTGTGTATCAGTCAGATATCATCGCACTCCTTACTACGATGAAACTATTTGAGGTTCCATTTTCATTGCAGTCTCCTCAGGGTATAAACTAGTCGGTGTACAACATTGAAACCTAAGACTATACCTGAGACATATTTAGTGCTGCTGTGTTCATGAACTTAACCTCGTCAAACCTTTGAGATTTCACTTGACTACAACCATCATGTTTCCAAGCTTAGTGGTTTGGAAAAGGATAGATAATCTTGCCTGAGTTGATGTTCAAAGAGTAGTGTATCATTGTTAAATTTTTGGGCAATTACTTTACTCCTATAGCAAGAAAAGACCATGATAGCTTTCATCAAACTGATCTAAAGAAGAGAATGCTTTAAAAAATAATCACATGACTTCATCAGGAGAATGAAAGAAGATTGCAACGTCTATATTAAAAAGGAACTGGCAGAAAGCCCAGAACCTACTGGTCTGATGTTAAAAAAAATATAAACGAAGTGGAAGTAATACATACTGATTACTTACATTAAACTGAATGTATGCTTTGCAATGCAGTCAGGGATGCTTACCTGGTGTCTTTTTGGGCAGGAAAAGGAGCTCATAGAAGACAATAGGCTTCTGGAGGAAAAGTTGAACCGAGTCAGAACAGAATCTCTCCTTACAGAAAATTTAAGAATTTTATGTTTCAGTTGATCGTAAAATAAATGTTAAAAAATGTTGATTACCGCTCATTGTACTATTGCAGATTGCTGAAAACACGATAGACGTGGGAGCAAATGAGAAAATGGATTTTAATAACGCTGCTCGCGGCCAAATGATACCTGGAGATCAGCAACATGGATTACTTGATTTGTTCCAAAGTAATTAAATCATGAAATCGACCTACAGCAGGATGACTATAAAGCTCAGCTGAAAATCAAATAAATTTTCATTAAGACTTTTCTTTGTATTAAAAGTTGACGTATAGTCGTTACTGCTTAAATGTGCCTCTTACCTTTATTGTTCCAGATATGCATTCGTGCATTATGTAAAATACAAAATTAGTACAATGTCATCTCCCGAAGCAGAAATCTCGTCCATAACCCCGCAGATTATAGTGTCTCCAAAGCTTTGGGCAGCAATGATGAAAGGAGTTGTGACAACCATTAATGATCACACGTAGATTAAGTACTGTTGCAAGTAGTGCTTTTAAGTTGTAGGTCACACATCCATAGATAAAAATTGAGGGCCATACGTGGATGAAAATGATTAACCAACTTATAAGCACTTAAAGACTTCCAAACATGCTAGTAGTTGCTAAAGCTAAAAGGAATTAAGGACATAGGTGGAGTAATCCGAGAATTGGGTTTAGTCGAGCCTTTCGAGCACTACTAAGAATCTCCCAATTTGGGTGTCCATAGACTTGAACAAAAAACTTGGAAAAGTGCTTATTCGTTTGTGGAAATGTGCTTCAAATCCAAGTCAACCCTAACCGGAGAAAGGGTTTAGCCTTTTTTTTCTTTTGAGCAAAATATCAACATAGTCTCGATGAATTTATAGGCTCCATCAAGGAAGGTTGATGGGTTAAGTTGCCACAATCGTATATAAAATCAAACTCATGAGAACAAGTGGAAGGGGCATAAATATGATCTACTAAAAGCAAAATAATGCAACATATAAAAAGAATAAAATAAATGGAGAAGTACTACTATCGATACAATGAAAGCAAGCAAGAAGCAAACTGACGTTCTCTAATACAAGGGTTTAGCAATTGAAGCAGCTTAAGTTGGCGTGTACATACTTAGTAGATTGTTTCTTGATGTTATCGACAAGCTTCAATTACAGCTAACAACTTTCTACCTTTAGTATGATAAGCTATAATGCAACGATCGTGTTTGGCCAAGCTTAAATGGTTCGATTAGAAGTACAGCTTTGTTTGCAATGAGTCTACACAAACCAATCTGTGACATACATGGAGCCAAACATGGATCTGTTAAACACTAAGATCAAATTATCTGACGATCAGAGTTAAATTTTCAATATGCGGAGTCAGCAAAATTAAAGTTGTTAGTGAACAATTTATAAGGATGATGGGACGTGTTTTGTTCAAACTTATGAGACATTTTCTAGGTGAAGTTTTGAAAAACGATATGAGCATATAGATTACTAAAATCGCGTAGAAATCTTTTCTTAGTATTCCGAAGAAATAATTGATTTAACTATTGACAGGAGGACCACAGACACTTCTTTGGATTTCGAAAAGGAAGAGCAAACCTCACCAATTTTTAACGCTCAAACTGTGATATGAAATAAGTCGATTTTAAAAAAATCTCCTTTCTAAAATTAGAAACCATTAGTAAATGTGAAGTATGTGACTCGCATGAGACAAAATCTTATTATTGCATAGTCTCTTGTTAGACAACCACCATGTCTATATCATTTCTCATAGAAAGTGCGTATACACTTAACAAAAGTTTCTATTCATAAGATTGATATAACGAACTATAGAAATAGAACAAATTAAAAACAAATATTATATAGTCGACTTTAAATTCATTGAATTCGTAGATTAAACCTCCAATACAAGAAACAGAAAAAAGATAACAAAAAATGACCTCAAAACATATACAAATATGTTAATTTTGCATGAATACGTTCATTATGAATGAAGGAAAATAGAACCAGAAAATAGCATTCAGACTTACATATTGCAGAAGTTTCTTCATGCTGGAAAAATAATGGCCTTCTGGAAGTGAAAATCACTCGTATTTATAAACCCATTTTTTGAAGGATGCAATTTATAGAACTTAAGGCCATAAAACTGGCGTCGTAGTAGCCACGAAGCCAATACTCACCTTTTGATTTGTTCGAGTGTAAAAAGTAGGTTACTTTTGGCGTGGGACAAGTGTAATCACTAACTCACGACGAATGGATTTAGGACCATAGACAATAGAAAAGTGTATTTAGCTCAGTTCTCCATTTCTTAAAAAAAAAAAAAATCTTTTGCAGACTGATTTTTAATCGCACGTTTCATAAGATTTACAATTTTTTTATCAATTTTATCAATATTTATTAGAAATCTAAATTTTATCCAAGCCAAAAATGAATTTAATATCGATTTCACTATCTTGTTGCTGAATGTCTCTCAAATTATTGAAAATTATTTAATTGACAGTCATATTGTCATAATTGACAGTGGTTTCACCCAGATCATAAAATAGTTGATTTTATTATTATTATTTTGAGGGAGAGACAGAGTAATTTACCTCAATTTGATTTAGTTAAAAAGATTGATAAAAAAATAAAGTTAAAATTAACAATTAATTTTAACCGTATTTTTTTTTTAGATCAGAATATTTATCATTTTTCTATCATAAATTTTATGAATTGTTATCAAAATTTATTGAAATGTGATATTTAGCAAATTCAAACAACGACCTTGTATGGTATTAGAATTATATACATATATAATTTTTTTATTTTTTTTTCATGAAAAAGACAAAACGTTGTGATAAATTTTATATTAATTCAAACTCTAATCCATTATTAATATTGTGTGGATTGAATTATATCATTATTCAATTAATTTTTTTTTTTAAGTTTCCAATAAAACCACAATAAGTGCAATTCCTAATCAAACTTTTCCATTATTGTAGTCGACAGGTGTGTATAAAGGATTAGAATGCATGTGACTTTTAGATGGGAGCGTAATGAGATAGGAGATAAAGATGACTTATCGAAGTTTAACTGATTCGAGAATCATAACGAGATCGAGGTAGTTTAATTATTTAGTTTTTAATAACAAAAATATTAAAATTTGAAATGAATCTAGTATATATTTCTACCATTTGTGTGATCTTTTTCATGAATTTTCATTGTTTTTTAATGTTCTTTTGCATATTGTAGTCCACATAAGAATATAGTTAATTCTTATATAAAATTAAAAACTAGTTTTGATTCTACTCGAGAGCGATAATTCAAATAAGTTAGAAAGATACTTTAATATTCATGAATGCATATTGTCAAAACCAAATAAAATGAATTCAATTGGATTAGCTATCATGAAATCGTGCGCTCTAACATCTTAATCTATCTGAATTCTCCAAATTCAATCGGGTTGCCAATTTTCTTACTTTTGGTTTGATTTTAGTTTAAAACCTTAAAAAAAATCAATATTCTAGTAAAATTAGAATCGATAAATTTCAATGATTAACGACAATTTTCGAAGGACGATACTCGATTATCACTTTATTATTTAAATCCGTATATTTGCAGAATCACAGCACAAAACTATCCCCTCACCCACCCCAAAATAATAATAATAATAGAGGAATGAGCCCCCTAGGGCACATCCCAACTGGCAAAGATGAAGGTGTCTCAAGGCTGGCAGATTAGAGGTCGTGAGTTCGATTCCCGGAAGGCTCTTGGAAGGCAGATATTCTCCTGGAAGGCAAGGTGCAAAGATGGGAAAAACGACTTGCTTGGCACTTTGGCAGATCAGCTGGGGGGCTCTTGAGCACTGGTCAGTTTGGGGCACAACCTGCTGTTTAACCTGTCTGTAGCTTGAGGGGCCAAGGTGTAGACTCCAGAATTTAGTCACTGTAAGGTAGATACCTAGATATCAAAAAAAAAATAATGGAGGAATGAGAAAAATGTTAATACACAAAATCTTGTACATGATAAATGGATAAATCACCCTAGATTGCCACTTGTTTCCTTCCATCGTTTATAATTTCAACTTAATGCCAAGATATTTTTGTACTGAAAAATTGAGAATATTTTTGACACAATTTGACTGATCAACTTTGTTAAGAAAAATAATTGGTTTGAGAAATATTAATTAATATTTTTAAGGGAAAATCATAAATATAATACTTTTTTATAAAATATCAAAGTTTGAGAAAATTATACGATTCAGATCATAATTCATTTTATGTAACAATTGACAATAGTTAATTTATTAAGATAAGAATTTGACATGAATTGGTAGTTATGAAGAATGGTTAATTTCACTTACCTGACCATTAGTAACTGGTGAATCTTTGTAACATTATGTGAGCCAAATATATATACCTCACATGATTTTCGATCACAATCAACATTCTACATGTCACAATAGATCGTAATTAACGTGTCATAGTATGAAGACGTTTGAAATTCACGTGTGACGTAAAAATGAAATACATCACTAGTGATTTTTGTAGTTTATGCGTGCGACCTTTCTGGCGCATCAAAATGATGGTGAGAAAGGAGATAAAAATAATTTCTTGTTTGGTCCTTTTTTCTTAAATTTATTTTTCCTTAAACTCATTTTCAATAATATTTTATGGGACCCACAACTTTTATCTGATTTTCCACTGTAATAAAAACAAGAGTTTTAGCTAAATCAAACCGGAGCTAAATGTTTCTCTCCTCTAATAATATTAAAATGGCAAGAATCCCATTTTATGTAATTTGAATTTCAAAAATTTTAAATCAATTATACATTGTCCCAATTAATGAGAATGAGGACAAAATAAAAATATATATTAACCTAGGGAATTAAAAAATTGATTTGTGAATTAAAAAAATTTAATAATAATAATAACTGATTTTTTATAATAAAAACTTAAGAGCGTGGTTCCTCCAGTTTTCTTTATTTTTAACGTAGGAGCATGATGAAAATGGGTTTGACCTAGGGAGTGAGCTTTGGGTAGATTTCCAAACTTAGACAATATGCTGTGAATTGAATTAATGCTATAAGTTTAGACAAAATAATAGTATAACTCAGATAAATTTCTTTATGTAATTAACATTCCTTGTCATATTTATATATTACATGACATGCGCGTGACGAGGGAATTATTGTGAATATTTATACCTGAATTTTGTGGACTATTGTGCTGCTATTATCTTAGTAGCAATACATTATTAATGCTAGCATATGTATTATATTATTGCAACCAATTTCACATGACACACCATTGCTAGCATACCATAACACTATTTTAATTACTGTCAGTACGTATGTCACGCCATCTATATTATCAACATGTTACTTGCTTCACATTAGCAATATTGTTACTCCTAGCTGTGCAAGCATGTGATCTAATTTGATACATAATAAACTATTTGCATATTATATTTTGAAACTTGATTTGTCATTATTCTCTGTATCGTTATTAGCATGTGGAGGGGCAAATGTGGCCCAATTTAGTTTGAATATGTGCAATGAAAATATTATATTGTATTGCAAGTTGGTTTAGTCTATATTATAAAGGAGATGTTGCAGAAATTTTGATAAATTATATGCGATATATATCTTTCGAGGCAATCTATAAGTCCTCGCCAGTTCAAGCTTGCACAAATATTTTTGAGGCAGTTGATAAACCATCATTTATTGAAGCTGCTCATATTTCAGAAGCAATTCATAAACCTTCCCAATTGACAACCTATATTTCAAAGTCCAATCGGCATATGATTGTACAACTCTGAAACTTTGGAGAATATTGTTATATCTATATATTACGTGATATGCACGTGACAACGGGGTCCCATATTGGCTGACTCGACCCTACTTTTAAAAATCAATATTCTAAATTAGGGTGAAGGTTTCATTATTCACAAAATCAGATATTTCATATTTAAATATTAAATATAATAACACAAATTTCATCACAAACCCTAATTAATTTCCTTTACTCCTTTCTCTCTCTATCCCTCACTTATCTCTTCTCTTACGAAGATGCCACCGTTGTGAAAACGCCGCCACCACTGTTGTGACCACTGCGAAGATGCTCACAATTATGCTCAAGACGCCACCGCTGGTAAATCCATTCCTTTACTGTGAAGGAAGCTACCTTGTCAACATTGAATGCTCGGTTGTACAGCGACCTTTTTTGCAGAAAGTCGCTGTAAAGCAGTGTTGTGTAGCTACAACCATTGCACAGAGAAGTTGAGCTACAGATCATACCTTTAGCTGTCCAGATCGTGACTGAAATGATGTAGATCGTGGTGGTGATGATATTTTACCTAGTTGTTGGATAGGTGTTGGTGGTTTACATGTTTCCATGGTGTTGAGGTTTTAGGGCTAGTTTTGTTGGTGATGGTGGTGGTGGTGGTGGTGGTGGTCCGGCGGCCATAGGGACAATAGTGAAGCAGATCGCAGCTACAGTAGGAGCAAATCGCGAAGGTGGTGATGATTTTTTTTTTCTTTTTTTTTTTTTTTTTTTTTTTTTTTTTTGTTGGGGTTTTGGGGTTTTTTGGGGGGGTGTTCGTGATTAACAGCTGGATCGTAGTGAGACGAATTTAGAAATCAAATTAAGTGGGTTTGGATTTCTGGTGGTAACGATTTTGATGGCGATGAGGTTGATAACAGTGGTATTCACAAATGATTTGATTGATTATAGCCATGAAATTGATTAATCTGTAACTAATGAAAAAAATAAATTGTGGCCAAGAAATGATGTGTGACCTAAAAAATTGTTAATTTGTGACCGATATTTTGATAATTTGTGATTATATAAGTTATGACTTATAATATTTGTGATTAATAACCAATAAATAAATTGTAACTTATAAATTATTGATTTATGATCAATGAACAAATGGTGACATAATTTTTTTGAATTATGACCGTAAAATAATTTATGAGATATAAAAATTCTGATTTGTGATCGAAAAATAATATGTGATTAACTAAATCATTAATTTGTGACCGAATTGTATAGACATGTGATCTTAATATATTTAATTAATTAAATTATGAATAAATTTTAATAGGTATATGATTTTTGAAATTTGAAACATTTGTTCTTAAGGGTTTGGATTTCTGGTGGTAACGATTTTGATGGCGATGAGGTTGATAACAGTGGTATTCACAAATGATTTGGTTGATTATAGCCATGAAATTGATTAATCTGTAACTAATGAAAAAAATAAATTGTGACCAAGAAATGATGTGTGACCTAAAAAAATTGTTAATTTGTGACCGATATTTTGATAATTTGTGATTATATAAGTTATGACTTATAATGTTTGTGATTAATAACCAATAAATAAATTGTAACTTATAAATTATTGATTTATGATCAATGAACAAATGGTGACATAATTATTTTGAATTATAATTTATGAGATATAAAAATTCTGATTTGTGATCGAAAAATAATATGTGATTAACTAAATCATTAATTTGTGATCGAATTGTATAGACATATGATCTTAATATATTTAATTAATTAAATTATGAATAAATTTTAATAGGTATATGATTTTTGAAATTTGAAACATTTGTTCTTAACTTTGAAATGGATAATATTTAACCTCTTGGTTATAAATTTTTCCCATATATATATGAGTCCATTCACAACCAAGGTACATATTTTAAACATAGGCAAATTCCCTTTCCCTCTCTTGCACTATTTTTATCTCTCCTATGGTCATTGATTTGACCGTTGGGGTGCAAACGATCATCGAATCTTTTTATTGACCAATAACCTTTGCACTCTAACGAGGTATTCTATTGTGCATGTCATAGTTGTGTGAAGGGGAGATGGTTGAAATTCTGATAACCATCTGCCCGTACAAAAATGAGGCCAACATCCCTCTTAATATGGTAGCTAGTGTGAAAAAACATTAATTGAGAAATTCGTTGTTTCATTTGAGTTTTCTCAAATTCAGATACACTTTTAAGCCCCTTTTTGATTTAAGAACTAAATTTTTGGTAAATTTGAGTAAAAATTGATGAAATGTGTGATCAAAAAATAATATATATCATGAAATATGTGATTTAAAATTAATCTAAAAAATGAATTTTTAAAAATAGGACCAAATAGGGACTAAAAATGACTGTCCCATTTCTTGATACAAGGTTTCTACCCTGACAATTGACAAAGAGATTTTTTATGCCGATTTATTTATTATTTATATTTCAACAAGATTATTTATTTCTTACTAAAAGTAAAGAATTTGGCATGTTTGAGCAAAAAGTAGCATTATTAATTACGAATTAATCTACTTGTACAATTACAGTTGATAATATTTGATGTGGTAAAATCTGAACAGTTGATTTGAAAAACTGTTTTTAATTTTTTTTTTTTTTTAAATTGATGATTGTCATCAAATATTGTCAACCAACATTATACACATAGCATGATTGTTTACCTATGATCCTATCGATTTTCATGTCAAATTTTTTATTAGTTATATTTCAACTAGACTTTTTGTTTCTTACTTCAGCGAGAAGAATTCTGCAAGTTTCAGAGCAAAAACTAGCATTAGGGACAACGCTAGTGAAATGTGAGTTAAGATTTGGAGGCAGGGACGGTCGGCATAATTTTATTTTCGTTTTAGGTCGGAATAGTTTAGGCAATATTTGAACTCCAATTTGTGCTAAACAAAAAAATAAAATAAAAAAGAAAAATCAAAAAGAAAAAAGAAAAAAGAAAAAAAAAAAAAAAAAAGGAAAAAAGGGAGTTTTGTAATAGTTATTTTTCGAAAATGTATGATTAAAAGGTAGAGAAAATTTTAGATTTACATGTAAATTATTTTATTGAAAGATGTCTGAAAATGAATTTTTAGAAAAGAATGAAATTTTGAGTAATCGGGGGCTAATGATATTAAAACTTTTAAACATATTTGGTTCAACTTAAATTACG